CCAGAATGGAGGAGAAATTGGTGTGTGGTCCCCCTGGCCAGCCACGGGCCCCGTTCAACAATGCTTCGGCTTTGTTCTGGGCTTTCAGTAGTTTCTGGGACTGACACCCCAGGAAGCCATTCGGCCAGACCATCAGGAGTGGTGGGAGAGGATAGGGAACATGCTATTGGTGGGGTGGGGAGGTTCTGGACTTTATGGGGAGGGTCAAGGCCCATCTCCCTGAACCCCAGTTTTTCTAGAGAACTTAAGCTACATAGAGTATGTTTGTACCAGAGGGATAAAAGTGCATGGGGTGTGGGCCAAACACACACACACACACATACACACACACACACACACACACACACACACACACACACACACTCCTCTGGCCCAGGATGCTATGCAAAATTGTAGCTTCTCCCTGGCTATGTGGAGCGGGGCACCAACACTAAAGAGCCCAGGTCTGTTTCTCACCTTCCTCCTTGCTTCCGACGTTTCCTAACATCCACCCTACGAGGTCAGGAGGATGGTCCAGGTGAGAGCACGGGCCTAGAGGGATGCACATCAAGTGGAGACCCACTGGGAAGCAGGCAACTCCTCCCTCAAGTGTACCCCAACCGGGAGACCCACGAGCAGCAACGCTTCCTGCATCGAGCCGAGTACCTTCCGAGTACGACTCACATCTGCTGGGGACTCTTTCTGCTGCTGTTGGCTTTTTTTTTTTTTTTCCAGAGGTGAGGGGACGGACCTACCGGGGGGTACTCAGGGCTTATTCTCGGTGGTGCTCAGGAGACCATATGCAGTGCTGGGATTTGAGCTCGGGTTAGTCACCTGCAAGGCAAGCCTCATTTGTAGCCCCTCATGTGTGACACCGAGAGTCAGGAGAACCCAGCCAAAGAGCAAATAGCCACATCTCCCCCCACCCCCCGTGAGGGCAGACAGCAATTCCCCATAGGGCAATCCACCTCACACATTAGATTTATAATTTCATCAGTTCTGCACATACACTGTTCGTCCACCTCTCTGTTCTGTCAAAGATGGGACTGAGACAGCTCATTCCTTTTTTTTTTTCTTTTCGGGTCACACCCTGTGATGATAGGGTTACTTCTGACTCTGCACTGAGGAATTACTCCTGGTGGTACTTGCGGGACTATAGGAGATGCCAGGGATCAACCCCCGGCCAGCCGCGTGCAAGGCAAACACCCTCCCGGCCGTCCTATCGCTCTTGCCCCACAGCTCATTCTTTAAACCTGGGGACAGTGGGCCGCTGGGTGTAACTGCAGGACAGCCTGACTCCAGGAACCTGAGTGCAGAGCCTGTCTATCCCCAATATCCACAGCCTGGGAAATGTCTTCTCTCATGGGGCTTCTGACGGTCGCCCCCAAGGACAGCCTCACTGGCTGGCACGGGTCCAGCTCACACGGAGACTCTGGGATGTAGGGCAGGGTTGAGCGACAAGACTTAAGCTGAGAGCCAGGGTTTCCTGGATCCTGAGGTCATAAGTCTGAGGCCCTTTGCATGGGGTTCCGTAGGTGTCCTGGCAGGACACCAGGCTCTAGGCAGCCCTGGGTTTGCCTCCTGGTGTGTCTGCGTGGCCTTTGATATCAATGAACTCAGTGGGCACATCTGTAAAATGGAGGTATGCCACATGCCAGCAGGCTCCCTGGGTACTTGCTGGCATAATATGTACCTACCTACTGGGCATGTCAGAAAGAACCTGGCATGCATGACCTCAGAAAGGTTTAGAAAGCATTTCACCAGGTGAGCTTAATGGACATTACCACTCTGATTTCATTATTTTGGTGGGGCTGGGGGTGGTTGGAGCCATACCTGGTTGTGTCTGAGCTTCTTCTGGCTCTGCACTCAGGGATCACTCCTGGCAGTGATCACGGGACCATATGGAATGTCGAGGACTGAACCTGGGTCAGTGGCATGCAAGGCAAATGCCCTACCCACTGGCCCCCTAATTTTCTCTATTTGCTAAAGAATAAAAACAAGTGTGAATTTCAGTGTGCTCCTTGCATGAACAGCTGGCGGTGGGGGGATGCATGTGAAACGTGGCTTGGGACCTTCCATTTAATAACACAAGCACGCACACCCATGGCTTGAGCAGGTCCCTAAGCGAATGCAGAATGCCATGGGATTGGGAGAACAAGGTCTAAAATGACCATCAGCCTATTTCCTCAAAGCTGTTGAATTAAATCTTCTTCGATTTACCCCCACGCCCACCGAAACACCCTGCTTAGCTGAGTCTTACAAACAATGCATATAAATGAATACAGTATGGATTTCTAACTGTTGGTCACTTGGCACTCAGGGGGATGGGAGAAGAGGAGGTGAGGGGGTCAGGGAGGAGGTGAAGGAAGCCCTGGACCTTCCTGAGACTGCTGAATGGCTGAGACCCACAGATTCCTCGGGTGCCAGGGGAAACTGCAAGGTAGGGAGCTTCAGGGCAGGGGGAAGCTAGCCCAGGGATCAAAGTAAGGCTATTTAAATCTCCCAGACTCGCAGCCCCAGGGGTCAGAGCAGAGGAAGGTCACATGGTTCCAGAGAGAGAGAGAGAGAGAGAGAGAGAGAGAGAGAGAGAGAGAGAGAGAAGGGAGAGCTGCCCGTTGAACAATCGGCCACCAGCTATGGTAAACTTTAATTAACTGCGCCATTATAATTCACTTCCAGCCCGAGTTCCACCTCAGCCACTCTCTCCCTCCCACTCCCTCCCTGGTCTTTCAGGCAGGCTTCTTTCCTGAAAGCCAACTGGCCTCCTTTGCTGGATGCCTCATTATTATAGTGACTGCTTCTCCGGCTAATAACACGCAGCAATAAGAAGAGTGAGAAAAAAAAATACGACACTGTTCTCAGCTCTTAATGACAGGCGCATCTCCTACCTCTGTGCACTAAGCCAGGGGTCATAGCAATCCTCAATCCTTAAAGCTCCTGAAGGTAACGTCACAGCACTGGAGATGCAGCCGCAGGCCGGCAGGAGTGGCTGTATTGAGGATGGGAATGGGGCTGATTCCACGCTAGAAGCCTGGGACCATCCTCACCAGGTGCGCACCCTGACAGATATGCCACATACTAAGTTCTCCTGTACCGATCCAGGCTGGCTGGGGTGCCGTCTGCCATTCCTTCATGCACTGGTGGTAAATTGTGGCCCTGACACTCAGCCTCTGTATCCTCAGGCGGCTGCACTTCACCCATTTGAAGAGTGGTGAGTGGGGGGTTGGGAGCACCTTAGAGATCTTCCAGGCGAAACATCTTGGTTTTTATTAATGAGCTTATGAGCAAAGCCAACCCAGACCTTCAAGTGAAATGTGTGATTGGTAGCCAGGCGAGGATGGGTTTTAGAATTAACTCTTCCTACAGTCTGCTATGCATTATCACCCCCAAGTTAATTACCCCTGAGAATGAAAATAGGTTCCATGACTCATAAGCACCAATACAACACTTGGCAGCAGATGAAAATGCAAGGACACATTTGCAGGAAGCTGACATGCATATCTATTTATATGTGGGGAGATTCTTAAAGAGGTGAGACAGGCACCTCCCAGGTACCAGGATTAAGAGGCTATAGCAGATCCATCAACTGGAATTTATCCACACTCCAAACACACACACACACACACACACGAGTCATGGTTTCCACTCCTCGGCAATGATGATAGCAAAGCAGGAACAGAAACTACAAGGCTGTTATTAACAGCAAGTCCCAACACCGACCGAGCCCCACATGGGTTCCTCACTAACTGGTGATTTGATTCCCCTCAAACGTGCCTGTTTCCATACCCCTCCCCACACTACTGCTCTGACTCCCATGGGAACCAGTTAGGAGTGGGTGGGGGGCAAGGGGACCATCAGATCTCTTCCCTCCTTTGCTGCTTCCTTGATGGGGACCATTCTGTTTTTTTGTTTTGCTTTTTGGGTCACATCCAGCATTGCTCAGGGGTTATTCCTGGTTCTGCACTCAGAAATTACTCCTGACGGTACTTGGGGGACCATATGGGATGCCGGGGATCAAACCCAGGTCAGCCGTGTGCAAGGCAAACGCCCTACCCACTATGCTATCATTCCGGCCTCCGATAGGGACCATTCTGGAGCAGGAACCTGGAGGTTAGATGCAACCAGGAATTGCAGAAAGGACCACAAGCTTTGTTTTGCTTCCTCCTGGCTTTCTTTACCTCTTTCCCTGCCTCTGAGGAAAGTCTAGGGCTTGAACCTGGATTGTTTCCGGGTCCCTAGGTCTGGAGGACCCTAGTCAGGGACTCTGCCTCCTTCCACACCCCTCAGACACCTCCCTCACACACCTTTGAAAGAAGTTGGCTAGAGGAGTAGGGTATTTCCTCAGTCATTAGAAGGGCTTTATATGCTGTCCTAAGTGACCTTTGCCTCAGGAACTGGGTTTTTTTTTTCCCTCTTCCCCATTTGTTGCAGCTGCTTACTACTGCAAAGTCAAATATCCATCCTTCAGAAAAATTTGCCAGAAACGGTGGGGGGGAGGGGAATAGGATCAAGAGGTCGGGCATCCTCCTGGGGGGGGGGGGGTTCAGTTTCCTAGACGCCCACTTCCCTCTGACCTCCTCATAGAGGGCTTCTCATCTCTAAGTCATTTTTGCCTTGGGCTGCAGTGACTTCTCTAGCAATTTCTGTCACATCTCAGAGGCAAAGCATTGTCACATCCTCTTTTGGTTTGGATTCCCTCCACCCCCGCAAAAACACACTTGCTCTAGTGTATCAGCAGTCTCCTGGCCACAGGGGGGAGGGACCAAAAAGCTGGGGTGCTCTTGAAGGGTGGGGAGGGAGAGATGCTGAAGAAACAGAAAGTGCTTAGTCAGCAACTGTCCCAGCCAAGAGGTGAAAGTAAAGACCAGGGGGGAGGAGAAGACAGCCCCACTTCCTCCTCTAGCACCAGGATGCTATGTTCAGGTGGGGAGGGTGTCATTCCTCCGCCCCCCCCCCCCCCATACACACACACTGGGGCTATGCAGCCTGAGTCCTAGAAAAACAAACTGGCTGACTCAGGGCAGGATTAATATCAATTGAATTTATTACAAGTTACTAAGCTCCAAGGCACATTACAGTGTTCTGTTAAACTACAGAAATGTATAAAGGACAAACAGAGCAGATTCTCCAGGTCTAGCATTTCGCTCTACTGTTCAAAAGCATCCGTGCATCAAGAAAGCAAAAACAAAACGACACGTGAAGATCCAACACATTCAGGTCAGGAGAAACAAACCAAAACATTTTCCCTCACAAACTTGCAACAAAAAAACACCTCCGCTCCCCCCCACACCCCCCTTTACCATTTTGCAAACAAAAACAAGAAAAACAAAACAAAACAGAACAAAATTAAGTGAAGACTTCAACACTTGGGGCTGTTTAGAATGAAGCTTTCACCATTTTATAGCATCATATATATTTTTTTTTTAGGCAGCAACACTGGCCTTGGCAAAAAAAAAAGTCATTTTGTGTTTTTTTCCTTTCAGAAGAGTGCATTACATTTACAAAAATACACACCAGCAGCTTTCGTTGCTAAGGGCTATTAATTCTGTACCTAAGCAAACACTCTGACACCAAATAAATGCTAACGAAGATGATGCAAATGACCCAACCAATAGGATACTGCATAACGCAAACCAGCTTATCCTTCAAATGAAGAAGTTAACATACCTTTGTTTCAAAATATAGAAACATACGACGAAAATAATGTCTATACATAAGACTAACTTTTTGCAGTTTTGTTATATTCACAATTCTACATCTGGGGGGGAGTGGGGGAGGGAAGGTCCACGGGGATTGGGGAGGGGCGCTCTGGACCAGAGGGGGGGCTGGTCTGGGGCAAAGGAGGCGGCTCTCGTGGTTCAAGGGTCTCTCTCCTTTTTCACTTTTACATCCCCAGCGAGGATAGTCGCGATCTCACCCTGCATGAAGGCCCAAGGTACATTCGACCCAACCAGGGGGCATTTCTCCCCGCTGGGGCAGTACACCTCGCCGGTGGCCCCCTGGGCCTTGATACTCTCTCTAGAGCAAGGGAAGCAGAACTTGTGGCTGGGGACGGACGGGCACTGGACGAAATGCGTGTCCTCCAAGCGTTCGTGGCAAATGGTACAGCAGAGGGGCCCGCTGTTGGCCAGCGGGGAATCCGGAATGTTTTGGGGATGCACTTGGTCCATGGCCGGGTGGGAGCTGGGCGGCGGCGGCGGCGGCGGCGGCGGCGCCACCTGCAAGTTCAGGTCCCCGTTCCGGGACGCCAGGCGCCGCTGGCCCGGCACGGAGGCGGGCGACACGGGGCTGCCGCTGTTGCGCCGCGCCGAGGCGGTGGTGGAGTGCACCGAGCTGCCGTCCTTGGGCGAGTGCGCCGTGCCCAGCGTGTCCGCCACCGACATGAGCGCGGCCATCGGGGACGGCCCGTTCTGCGGGGCGCTCTCGGGCGGGGTGGTCCGGTTGGAGTGCGGGCCCAGGGGCGGCGGGGGCGGCGGGGGCGGCGGCGGCGGGCCCCCCGCCGCGTGGCCCGGCGCCGCGAAGCCCCCCGCCGACATGGTGAGCTTCAGGGCCTCGCTCTGGTTGGCCATCCACTGCTGCCGCTGCTGCTGCTCCTCTCCCAGCTTCAGCGCGCCGTCGGCCGAGTCGGGGGGCTCGGGGGACGCCTTCCTCTTGCGCAGGCTGGCGGCCGCGGCCCGGCCCGTCGGGGTGGCCGGCGGCAGCGCCCCGGTGCCCGGGGGCGCGCTGGGGGCGCGGCTGAGACTCACCAGCGCCGTGGGCAGCATGGGGCAGCTGGCGTCCAGGTAGGGCTGCGGCAGCATGTCGGCGCCCGGCACGCCCTCCTTGAAGAAGCGCACGGCCTCGGGCAGCAGGTCCCCGAGCAGGCGCCAGTCCCCGGAGCCGTGCTTCTTCTCGTACTCCAGGTACTTGAAGCCGGAGGACAGGCCCCGGCCGAAGTCCTTCATGCAGTCCTGGTACATCTGCTTGGCCACGCCGGACGCGCTCGAGTACACGTTGCCCGAGCCCGTGGGGTACTCGATGAACAGCTTCAGCTCGTAGTCCATGCCGGGCTTGGAGACGGCGTCGAAGGCGAAGACGCGGCCCAGCAGCGAGTGGTCCTTCTTGAAGCGCACCTCGTAGGGCGTGCAGCCGGCCAGCGTGAGCAGCGTGTCGCGGACCATCTTGGGCTTGCTGGCCCACTCCTCGGCGCGGTTGCGCAGGCTCTCGCTCAGCTCCGCCAGGGCCTCGGCGTTGCGCTGCTTCTCCTTCAGCTCCCGCTCGGGGTCGGTGCTCGACACGGAGCCGGGCCTTTTGCCACCGGCACCCACGCCCACCTCGGCCCCCGCCGCCGCCGCCGCCGCCGCCGAGGTGGAGGACGCGGCCGCCGAAGCCGCGGCCGCCACGCCCGGGGGCGCTCCGAGGCAGGCGGGCCCGCCCGGGGCTCCCGGGGGCGCGGGCGTCGGGGGTCCGCGGCCGCCCAGGCCGTGGGGCGGCGGCGGGGGGCAACACGGCGGCGCTGGCCGGGCCGTTGAGCAGCGTCTGCGGCAGCAGGTTGGGGGGCACGGCGAGCTGGGGGCCGCCGCCGCCGCCACCGCCGCCCGGGTTGGGCAACCCCGTCACCAGCCCGCCGTGCGTCCCGCGCCGGGACGCCACCGACGCCGCGGCGGACGACGAGTTGGGGCTCTGGCGGTTCAGCTCCGGGGGCCCCTCCTCGGCGCTGGGCTTGGGGAAGCCGTTGGGGCCCCCCAGGCCGTTGGGCAGCCGTGCGGCGTGGCCGCCGCTGCCCAGGCTCACCGGCGGCGGCGGGTACTCGAAGCGGCTGCGCTGCTCCACGGCCGCCGCGGCGGCGGCGGCGGCGGCGGCCGCGGCGCTCAGCCCGTAGCGCTCCAGGCCGGAGGCGGCCGCCAGCACCGCGGGCTTGCTGGAGCCATCGACGTGGTTCAGCTGCTGCTGCTGCTGCTGCTGCTGCGCGGTGGCCGCCGCCGCCGCCGCCGCCGCCTCCTTAGCCGACAGGGCCACCGTCTTGACCCCGACGGGCGGCGGCGGCCCGGGGGAGCGGCCGTCCTGGAAGCAGCCGTGCGCCCGCTTCAGCTGGCGCGCCGTCTCGATCACGAACTCGATGCGATCGGCGCCCTCGTAGTTGACGCACCCGCGGCACACGGGCTCCGAGAAGTCCCAGATCATGGCCCAGGGCATGCGGGGCAGGTCGCACAGGTAGCAGGACTGTCTCCGGGACGAGGACACCTGCGCCGCCGACATGATGCCGGCCCCGGGGAAGGTAGGCCCCCGCCCGGGCGCTCTCCGCTGCGCCTTCTCCTCCGGGAGCACCGGCCGGCTGCAGAGGGAGTCCGACTGCGGGGGGAAGGAGGGAGGAGGCGGGGAGGGGGGGGGGCGAGAAAGTTCTGCCCCAGGGGCTGGAGGGGGGCGCGAGTCTCCACCGCCGGGGCGGCCGCCGAGCTCAGCCAGCGCCGCGCCCCCACCTCCTCCTGCGGCTGTCTCGTCGGGAAGGGAGTTCAGGCGCCTTCTTCCTGGTGCCGCGGACCCGGGCGGGCAGCTCCGGGCCCAGGGGGAGGGGGCGAGGGTGCCGGGTGCCGGCCGCCGCCGTTGGCTCTGGGCCCCCTCCCCGGAGTGGCTGGTGCGTGGAGGCTCGAAAGGGGCTGTCTCTTCCTCTCCCCTGGGGGGGGCCCCCTAGGAGCTGCGTCCTCTCCCCGCCGGGCTCCCCGCGGGGGCGCGGGCTAGAGGGTTCAGTGCCACCCGGTGTGGTGCCCGGGTCCGATCTTGCTGGAAGACGCCGCGGCTTCCCCGCCCCGGAGCACCGCGGGCGGGAGTGGAGTGGAGTGGGGGGCGGGGGGCGTCCGCCGGGAGAGCCGGAGCTTCTCCCCTCCGCAGCAGCGTTGGCCGTTCGGCTGGCGGCGGCGGCAGCGGCGGGCTCTGCACGGCCGGAGAGAGCCGCTCGGGGCCCCGGGCTTCCAGGACGCACGAGCGAGCAAGCGAGCGAGCCAGCCAGCCAGCCGGCCCCGGAGCGCACGCACGCACGCAGGCAGGCAGGCTCCCGCCGCCCCCGGGCCCGGCCCAGGCGGCGCTCACGTCGGCCGCAGCCCGGCTCGCATCCCTTCCCGCTCGCGCTCGCGCTCGCCCGGAATGTGGGGTTGTGATTGTTACTCTACGTTCCGGAGGCGCGGCTCGGCGCTGCCGCTCGCGCTGCGGCTCGCGCTGTCCCCGGCTCGGCCGCGCGGAATGCCGCCCGGGCGGAGCGCTGACGTCACCGCCATGCTCTGCACCAGTTCTCCTTCCCCCCCTACACCCCACCCCCCTCCGCCTCCCGCACCCCCCTTTTACACTTCCTCCGTCGGCGGAGCCCACTTGTTGCTGCGGGGAGGCGCATGCGCGGCAGGCCGCCCAGATTCCTCCCCAGCGGGCCCCTCCTCCGCGCCGCCGCCCTCCCCTCCCCCTCGCCGCGAGAGTGTGTGTGTGTGTGTGTGTTTGAGTGTGCGCGCGCGCGCGTGTGTACAACAGCTGAGGCCCCGAGAGCTAAAGCTGGAAGTCCAGGACCGGGGGTGGAATTTAAACAGACGCTGACCTTTCCTTTCCCCCGCCCGGCTTTCCCAAGTCAAAAATTGAGCGCACTTAAAAAGCTACCAACGTCCATAAAAAATTTTATAAAAAACCCAAAATTTAAAAAAAAAAAACTACCAGCGTCGTTTCCGAGCCCGCTCCCGGCCCCACCCCGGGGGCAGTGAATTTGAAAGTGCCGGTTCGAGATAATTTGCGCCGCGAATTTCCTAAGAGGGTGGCCGGCCTCGTTTCCCCTGGGCTCTTCCAGGCATTGCTACCGATGACGCCGGAGCACCTGCAAAATTCGCGGTTTTCCAAATCGGCCAGAAAACTGCCTGGTCCATTTGTGTTTGTGCCCTAAAGTCTAGGAGCCCCAGCTTGAAACGACGGAGCTAAATGAATCCAGGATGAGCTACCTACCCTCCCCCCAGCCGCACTCTTAAAAAAAAAATTTTTTTTTTTGAATAAAGAAGCGCCCCGAGGCCTTTAAGGAAAACAGTCTCCAGGCTGGGCTGGGCACAGCTGCGGTTGGGGGCAGGGAGAGGGAGGTGCTAGAGAGGCCAAACAGGTGAGTGTTTTTTTTCCGGGTTTGATAAAAGAAGGTGGGGGTAGCTCTTAATAATAGCGATATCACTTGCTCCGTGCAGTTCTGAAAGTTCTTTCTCACGTGCTGTGATTTAATCCCGTCGTTTGCCAGATGACTGAGCCTGCCATGATTTCTTTTACCTGCTCGTTATTATGGCTTATTGCAGAACAGATAGGTGGGTCGCAGTGCTAACTGGGGCATTTCAACGGATCCTTGCAAGTGCTGGAATCTGCCTGTCTCCCCTCTCTCCCTCCCCCTCCCCATGAAAATTTAAATAAATCCTTGGCCTGACTGGAGGAGAGGAGGGGCTTAATGGGATTTCAGGTTTTGGAGTCCGGCAGATCTCTCCGCCTTGTTGTGACCCTTGTGCTGGTTACTTTCCCTTGCATAACCTGTTTTTCATCTGTAAAGTGGGATCAGAGCCCCCAGTTTATTGAGATTTTGTTTTATTAGTTACAAAAGGAGGAAACTCAACTGAGGCTTGCTATGGGCCAGACATTGCTGTTTGACTTGTTTATTAACCTCCATATATATATATTGCTTTATGGGTCACACCTGGCGATGCTCAGAGGTTACTCCTGGCTTTGCACTCAGGAATCACTCCTGGCAGTGCTCAGGGGACCATATGGGATGCTGGGAATCGAACCCGGGTCGGCCGCGTGCAAGGCAAACACCCTACCCGCTGTGATATCACTCCAGCCTTATAACCTATTATTTTCTATAAAATAGATTCTATTATTTCCTTTGCTTTTAAAAGTTAGGAAAATAAAGAGGTTAATGCCATTGTCCAAGGTCACATGGACCTTAGAGAAGGAATTGGGACCTGAATTCAGTTAAATCTGATTTGAGAGATGGCTTTTGGAACAAACGCCATCGTTGGCTCTCAGAGGTAGTTTCGAGTACTCACCATTTCCACCACACCCCTCCCCCCCCTTTTGGTTACACTCAATATCCAGGAAAGTGCTTTGTAAATACACCTTCATACCCAACTCTCACCCTCCCCTTCCAAACAGATTGTGCCACTGAATTCTTCCATATACAGCAGTTGCAGAGCTGCCACTGTCACAGATGGTAACATAAATATGCCCTACTGTAAGTCGCGCACAGTGTCAGGCTCACAGGAAGCCAGCAGGAAGCGTAGTAAGTGTGGAGATTCTTACACGTGTGTTTGCTACTGGTGCAAGTTAACCTGTGAAGACATCGTTATTCTTTCACTTCTTTCTCTCTAACTGCATGGCTGGGCCACACCCTGCAGTGCCCGGGAAGGGCATGGCATCGGGGAATGGAACCCATCTGCCTCTCTAGCTTGTGCCCTACAGCTTCAGCCACATCCCCAGCCCCAAGGATCATCGTCCTCACCTCTTACTACAAATTGAGTTCAGTTGAGGCAGCCAGGAGTATTTTTATTTCACCTGACCTTCAGCGTCTGTGCCCTACCCACCCCATGCTTCCCAGCACTGCTCTCCAGCTCATTTGGGGGCCCTTGGATGCAAAAGAAAGGGAGTTTTTTAGGCTCAGAAGAAGGGGCGGGGGAGGAAGAGCCCTTGGGAACCCCTCTTTCATCTCAGAACAGCCAGATTTCTGTTTTTGCAAAACAGTGACCTCACCACACTCCCCAAAAATAATAAACTTTCCCTGGCCGGCTGCTCCCGGTGCTGATTCCTCTGTAAAATTCTGCTCCCAGATCATGCCTCACCCTCCAGACTGCAGTCCACCCCTGCAGCAGCTACCCCAGAGAGTCAAAACACCCAGACTGGGAGAGTTAGCTTTGCCTCGGCTGGCTCACCTAATTCTTGACGATTAATATTTGAACAGCCTGCCCCTTTATTAAGCCCAGAATACTGAGGAATAACAACTTAGCCCCACCCCTCTAGCCAGGCAGTGAGGGAGAAAGCCAGTTGGATTCTATGTCATAGTGTTCTGTTTGGTATGCGCACACATATGTCTCTATCTCCTTGTCTGTCTCTGTCTTCGCTGTTACTAAAGGAGAGCTATATTTACACGTCCTCGCTGGGTGGAGTTAGAAATAAACATGCATTTCAACAAACTTCCGTTACAGCCTCAGAATCCTTTCATTTTTCAAGGCGGAGCCCTCCGGATGGATATACCCTTACCCCTGAAAAGAATCACTATCACGTATGGTGATAAATTTCATCTTGATTGCACGTCTGAGATGGCCCTATTTGGGATTGTGAAAGAGACCAGAAGACCAATGTTTCCGAGATAAATTTCCCTCGAAGGAGATAATCACATTTGATAATATTGTCCCCCCTTCCCAAGGCGGGTGGGAAGTGAACAGGGTGGGGGCTTCTGTTTTTAGGCAGTGAGACAATTCTGACTGATGGTGGGGTCTAGAAGAAAGCAGAACCGCCTCCCCCAAGTTCCTCAAATTGCCATCTTTCCCAGCTATGCCTTGTGAGTCTGGAGAAGCTGTGTCTAGCCGGAGCACAAAGGTCACTGTCCATTTGGCCTCCGGAAAGGAGGTCCAGCATCTCACAGGGCCCCACAGTCCGCCTCTGATCCTGCACCCCTCATCCTGCCAGTCTGTAGCAAAAGATGGGTGGGCTGGGGCATCTCTTCAATCCTGGCATCCCTGCTGCCAGCTGGTTGGGCCTCGGCCAGGGCAGAGCGAAACCTTGCAGTCACCCGGCCAAGCACTGCCTGAGAAAGGCCTTTTTTGGTAACACTAAGCCCCATGCCTTAAAGCAGGACCCTGTTCATCAGCTCCAGTAGTTGGAAACAAACATGTCCCGTTGGGCGCCCATGGACGTCGCTAAGGCCCCACCCAGTGCTTCCCCAGAACTGCAAGGACATGGCCTGAATCCCCAGCAAGCGTGCAAAAGGGCACGGTGGAAAGTGGGGAGAGGGGGAGGGGTCCAGTGGGCACGGTGATTTGCCCCGGTTCCGTGGCGGAAGTGTTTGCCTTTTCTTCAAGGATTAATCCTGGTCTTCAATAATAAAAAGGGAAAAAAAAAGCATCAACTTGGGCCAGGGCACAGGGTTACGCAAGAGCCACTCGAGCGTGAAATCCCAAGGAACATAGTGATTCGCTGAGAACCCCGGGGGAGGCGAGCCTGCGCCGCCGCCAGGACCTGCCCAGCCCCAGGCGCGCGCGGGCAGCCGGGCGCTCCGTGCAAAATTGGGTGGAAGGAAAAAGCCTTCGTGGTTGGTGCTGGCACGGCGGCTGCCGCGAGCTTGCAGATTTCTGACTGCTTTCTTCCAAAGGGGCGGGGAGCTGGGAAGGGAGAAAGGGGGCGGGGTGGCGAGGGGTGGGGTGGGGGAGAGTCGCGTCTGGTTCCTGCCTCCTCCTGCCCGCTTGCCAGGGCACCGGGGAGCCCAGCGCTGTCCTCAGCAAAAAAAAAAAAAAAAAAAAAAAAAAAAAAAAAATCCCCGATTTTTTTTTTTTTAGGTCCCAAAATAAAGGAATCCTGGACTGAACCTCCGAGGGCTCAGGCCTCGTAGAGAAAAAGAGGAATGAGCCAGACAAGGGTGCTATTCACGGATCCGGTTGGGTTAAAACAAACACCCACAAACTCGAGAAGGGGGGAGGCGCGCTTGGAGGAGGAGATGGGCGCCGAGGGGGTGGGGTGGGGTGGGATGGGGAGCCTGGCAGGGGGCGTCGAGACTACAGGTGCTCAGAGCGCCGACCCTCCCACCCCGCCGGCGCCCAGGCCTCCGCCAAGGGCCAGGGTGCCAGCGGGTGCCCACCAGCTCGCGCCGGAGCGGGGATTTCCAGCGCCAGGCTCGGAGACTCGACGCCGCCGGCGCTTTCCTGCCAGCGCCGCCAGAAGGCGGGGCTGCGCGCGCTCCCTCCGTCAAGTCTGGTAGGTCAAATCTAGTACAAGGGCAGCTGTCACTGCTGGGCCTCCTTGGGGGTGCACGAGCTAGAATCTCCAAATAGTCGGACTTGTCCGAGCTGGGCAGGTCCACACGAAAACTCGGGAGAAAGGGAGAAGGCAGGGGGCCCTTCACACCGAGTACAGATTTACCAGCGCCTGTTCAAGGTGGACTTGGCTGACCCCACGCGGCTGGGTGACCTTGAGCAAATCACCGGGATGGTGGTTTCTCGGGTCTGTGAAATGGGAATATTTTGCACTGCCTCCGCTGCCTGCTTCATTGGTCTCTGCGGACCCCACAATATTATGATGCAC